ATAAACTGTTTCTCCTGAAATATTTCTAAGTATCTAAGGGCCTGTTTTGCCTGTTTCCCCAGATCACAGAGTGCCTCATCCTGATCTTCACCCTGAATTCCTTTCAGATGTGTTGTAGGTCAGCAACTGCAGTGGCTAATTACTTGTTTCTTGTAGAATTGGATGGTGGGCACCATTCTTTATTTTACACCTCCCTGCAGTCAAAAATCTGCATGAAGCAGAGTCAGCCCTCCATATCTGCAGTTCCACACCAAAAGATTCAGTCAACAACAGATTGTGTAATACTATTTATTATTGAAAAAAATCTGCATATAAGTGGACCTGCGTAGTTCAGACCCGTGTTGTTCAAGGGTCAAGTGTATGTGGAATTTGAGCTTTATTTGTAGGTGGTAGAGAACCACTGAAATATTTTGATTATGGTGTAATTTGATTCATTTATCAACAACTTGGTATATCTGTCAATGTATAGGTAAGATTATGAGTGGGCAGAAAGTGGAACCTGGGACATCAGTTACAATTAAGACATTTGTACAATTAGAGTTCAAATTAGAATGACAGTGAAGAAAGAAGAGGGAGTTGGTGTCAGAGGGATTTTAGAGGTAAACTCAACAAGCCTTGGCCTCTCTTTTTTAAAGTATCACATTATTCACTTTAAAGTGGTAACTCCATTCCTAATGAAGAGATGGTGCTAGCAAATAGGAATGTTTTGACAGGCTAATATTCTTCCTTTGCAATAACTGCCTTGGCATTTATAGAAAATAAGTAATGAAGTAAAGTTAATTGGATATCATCTTGATAATAAAAATGTAGTTGTGATTGATGATATATTCTGGAGGTTTATTTCATTTAAGAATTAACTGTAGGTTAGAGATATATCCAAAGAAAGAACAAGATATTAATTTGGACTTTATGTTTCTGTAGTGGTTTATATAGGCCTTTCTTTCCATCTGTTAATTCTGGCACAGAAAAGGCTGGGCTATGTAGCACGCTCCAAATGCTACTTTACATTTCACTAGGAATCAGTGTACAATATGTTGATGCAGTATTTACTACAAGAAACTGAGCTGAAATACTGAAAATTAAGGATATTCTTTTTGTTATCTTGTGAGCTGTCCTTATCAGAGTATATATTTGACTGTTTTATTTTAGCAAGGTTTAGCTGACAGCAAAACTAATACCATCATCAATATTGTTTTATGTTGCTAGTTTTTACAGTTTTAGGAGATAGAACATGAGCATGATTTATTCAGTTATCTTTGCTTTATGCATTTTCTGTAAATCAAGTAGATTACTCATGTCACTGGTGATATTTCTCTTAAGTAGTTTGTTGACTTTATATAATATCATGTAGTGTTTGCTTTATATAGGCTTCCACACTGGAAACTCGTTTGGATTGTTTTAAAACTCTAAGACTTCTGATTTAAAGACGACAGAGTAGAGACACTTGTGCCTTCTTCTATCTGAAATTACCCTGAAACAGCAAAGAGAATGAGAGACAGAGATGTACAGTTGATCCTTGAACAACATGAGTTTGAACTGCTCTATGTAGATTTTTTTTAAATAGTAAATACTGCAGTACTATATGACCCCTGGGTGGTTGAATCCACAGATGCAAAACCGCATATATGAAGGAACCGCAGATACAGAGGAACCACATATGTATATGGAGGGCCAACTATACATTATATGCAGATTTTTAACTGTGCAGAGGGTTGGTTGCCCAACCCCTGCATTGTTCAAAGGTCAACTGTAATTACATCTTAGATGGGACTAGAGTCCTGTATCCCAAATTGAAATATTTGAGAAATATTTGTCAAATGTAAGCAGAAAGAGATTAAAAGAGCATTCTGGCAGAAAGAGATCTCAGGTAGAACTGACAGAGCAACGAGAAATAGATCTTCTGTTTACAGTGGTGTCAGGATGCATAGAAAAGCAGTGGGAGAAGCTTCCGTGGAATGTTTGGCAACATGAACTAGCAGGAAAGGAAGAGCAAATGAGAAAGCATACAGATACACAATCTTTGCAGGAAGCACTGTCTTGGTGAGGCAAGAAGTAATGGCTAAACAACTTTCTCTTGCTTGTTCTCACATACATTCTCTCTGTCTCTCTCACGCACACACATGCGCAGAACACCCTGTATCATAAAGAGCTTTCTTGTATACTAAAGAGACTACCGGGGCTTCCCTGGTGGCGCAGTGGTTGAGAGTCCACCTGCCAATGCAGGGGACATGGGTTCGTGCCCCGGTCTGGGAGGATCCGCGGTTAGGCCCGTGAGCCATGGCCGCTGAGCCTGTGTGTCCGGAGCCTGTGCTCCGCAACGGGAGAGGCCACAACAAGTGAGAGGCCCGCGTACCGCAAAAAAAAAAAAAAAAGAGAGACTACCTTCTAGTCCACAACACAGCCTTGCTTCTTCCTTCCACAATCCTCTTGCAAATAGTTGGCCTGAGTGGAGTTCATGTCATTCAAAGATTAATAATAATAAAAAGCAAATTAGCACAGCATCTAAACAAAAATGTTACAAGAAGAAAAGCAAAAAGAAACGGAAGAACAAGTGACAAAGAACCCATGAAAAAACTGTATTGGCCTAACAAATTTAAGGAGACAGTCATTTCTTTAAAGTAATAGAGAAAGTTAATTGGCTAGGAAGAAATAGTAAGACAACAGTAAATGGTGAGTAATAATTTGGCAGAACTCAAGAAAGAGAAGAAAAAAAAATCAGAAATAAAAGGCCAGGACTTCCCTTGTGGCACAGTGGGTTAAGAATCCGCCTGCCAATGCAGGGGACACGGGTTCAAGCCCTGGTCTGGGAAGATCCCACATGCTGTGGAGCAACTAAGCCTGTGCACCACAACTACTGAGCCTGTGCTCTAGAGCCCACAAGCCACAACTACTGAGCCCCGTATGCCACAGCTACTGAAGCCCGCATGCCTAGAGCCTGTGCTCCACAACAAGAGAAGCCACGATAATGAGAAGCCCATGCACTGCAATGAAGAATAGCCCCCGCTCGCTGCAACTAGAGAAAGGCCGCGCTCAGCAACGAAGACCCAACACAGCCAAACATAAAAATAAATAAATAAAGAGTCAATGAGAACATCGAGGAGTGGTCCCTTATTAAAAAAAATAATAATAAAACGCCACATAAGAAGCAAAAAGGAGAATTAACACTGTTGAAAGCTCAGTAAGGGATATGATGACAGGCTTTTGAAAGTTGAGCAAAGTGAAATGGGAGTGAAAGGAGATGAAACAAATGCTTAATTGTAGTTCTGGAAATAGAGAACAACATTAGAACAGAAAAGTATTCAAACATATAACTTAAGAAAACTTGCCGCAGAGAAAGAAATCTTGATTGTACAGATCGAAAGTGCACATAATGAAGAAAAACTAATATATAGTCATTAACATCATTTCATAACTTAGTTTTTAAAAAATTGGATTGCAAAGATAAGGAATGTGTTCTTTGCTCATCCCATTAAAAAGATCAGCTTATCTATAGGGGAGTGCCAGGGGAAGGATCAGATATTGTCAAGGGAGCATTTAGCATTGCAGGACAGTGGTACAAATTCTGTAAGTCATCAGAGGAAAGGAAGTGTGACCTCAAAGCCAAACTATTAGTTGACACCCATTTTTTGTTTTTTTTCCTCATAAATTTATTTATTTATTTATTTTTGGCTGCATTGGGTCTTCATTGCTGTGCATGGGCTTTCTCTAGTTGCAACCAGCGGGGGATACTCTTCCTTGTGGTGTGCGGGCTTCTCATTGCAGTGGCTTCTCTTGTTGCGGAGCACAGGCTCTAGGCACACGGGCTCAGTAGTTGTGGCTCACATGCTCTAGAGCTCAGGCTCAGTAGTTGTGGCACATGGGCTTAGTTGTTCCATGGCATGTGGAATCTTTCTGGACCAGGGCTCGAACCCGTGTCCCCTGCACTGGCAGGTGGATTCTTAACCACTGCGCCACCAGGGAAGCCTGACACCTGTTTTTGAACAATGTAGGAACTCAAGGTAAATAGTGCCCACAAGTCCTAAGGAGAAGATGAATACCAGCCATCCAGTAGCTGAGCAGAGATGATACAGCAAAAGGATTGGCAGGGAATATAGTAGGAATAAGACTAAAAAAGCTGTGAGATTTGTATTGCAGAATGCGATAGAACGATAGCAAAGTAAACTAATAAAAGTCAGGATTGAAAGAGGAGAGATGCAGAAGGTAGATTTTTCTCTTATTTTTTAGCTGGAGAACTAAAGACATACAAAGTTTAGACATCAAGTAATAGAGGTGTTAGTATATTTAAAGGAATAAAGATAAATATTTGAACTGAATTTAATATGTTTGGCCAAAATCAAACAGTGGAGAGGAGGTAAGAAGAAGTAGAACTATATTAAATTTCTTGTTCTAAAGAAATAGTCAGATGGGACCAAAGATGAAAGAACAAAAATTTTTATCGTGGCTTTTTTTACACTTGCAGAAAATGAAAATGTATATGGGATATTTATAAAAACTGACCACATCCTACATAACAGAAGACAAAGAGCTACTATACAGATGATGTTCCTTGACCAAAAACTTAATTTTTTTCTATGGAAGTGGTTCTTAGTATATTCAGCAGCATCAGCATTGCCTGGGAACTTGTTAGAAATGCAAATTCAGAGGGCTTACCCCAGTTCTATTGAATCAGAAGCCCTGGGGGAGAAGCCCCCCAGTCTCTTTTGGTCAGTGTTTATAGATATCCCATTTATGTTTTTTTGTTATTTGCAGCTGTAAAGAATGCTATGATAAACTTTTTTGTTCTTTCAAGTGTGGTCTCATATCTGTTTATTTCTTTAGGATAGGAAATTACCAAATCAAAGAAGGTTCTGTTGAACTTTAGATAACTTTTTCTTGGTTAATAAAGGTGAAAATTAAATACAGGTTTTTGTCTCTTTAGAAATATCTTTTTGTTCACAGAAAACAAGATTATCTTCTTACCCAAAAAGATGAAACCAACTGGGTTACTTTCAAAAGACAACCAAGTGAGCACCGCAGACTAATGAGTAGGATCAATAAGAACGTGATTTTGGCGCTTTTAACTTTGACAAGTTCTGCATTTCTGCTGTTTCAGTTGTACTACTACAAGCACTATTTATCAGCAAAGGTAATTTTTTTCCTCCTTTCTCATTATTAGACTTCATTTTAGCTGTATATTTTCCTAACATACTTCCCTTTTGCAGTACAAAAAATTAATCACAGTTTTTAAAATCCTTGCAGAAATAGTTCTTTGAGATTCTCATCCTCGTGAGTGTGGCAAGCAATTCAAAATTACAGTTAAATGTTATTGTAATAACATGTTAAAAGAGGTGCCAAGTTTCAGTGATGTTGAAATTTTCTGATAGAGTTATGTGAAAATTTTTATTTTTCCAAACAGATCATCACTCATGGGAAAGAATTCAATGATAAATAATTTTGATAAAATATTAGAATTAGTTTATTTTAGTACAGAGTATATTTTAATATAGTGTCTAACAGGGAAGTATAGTGTTATAACTTACCTTTATTATAAATCTATAGGCATAAAGATGTAGAGACAATAATTTGTTATCTGGTAGCTTCTGAAGATCATACAGAAGTCCAGGTAAGAAATTCCAAAGTTGAGAAGGTATTGCTGAATTGTGAAAAGTTGCCAAACACTCCCACTGGGGTTAATTATAATAATAGCTACCATTATTGAGAATTGTGCTAGATACTGTCTATGCTTAATTTAACCCTAAAAACATTTTGGTGGGGAAATATGTTTTTGTTTGTATCGTCATTTGATAGTTAGAACTATTCTTCAGAACCATTTACTTCCCTTTCCCTCCCAAAGGGGATGACACTTCCCTGCCCTAGTTAAGCTTGACCATGAGACTTACTTTTGCTTGTGGAATGTTATAGACATTTGCAGAGATTTCAAATGGGCTCGTATGATGTGACTTGCCCTTTGTGCTCCCCTGACCTGCCAGGAGAAGAGTGTGCCCTGGGTAGATGCTGACCTCCAGCCTGAGCCCTGAATTAGATGTATGAAGCAGACCAAACATAGCTCCCCAGCTGACTCATACGTCTGTGAGGGAGAAAACAAATGCTTAAACCTTTAAGATTGAGAGAGGTTTATTATGCAGTATTATTACATGAGGTTCCTAGACCTCATTTTACAAATATGAAAACCAAAACTCTGACAGAGATGTTAGATAACCTACCCCAATTACCCAGTTTCTAACATGCAGGCCTGACAGGTGTACCTAACTCCATTCTTTCCAGGCTATATTATTTTAAAAATAATTGACAAGTACTGAGGCTACCAGCTGTCTTGGCTGTTGACCCAGTGAATGTCTTTGTGTTTCATCTTCAGCCCTCTGCTGATTATTTTCTTAGGATAAAGTCCTAGAGTGGAATTTCTGGGTCTAAGATGTACATTCTAGATTTTGTTACATATTGCAAAGTCACCTTTCCTAAGGATAACTAGTGTGTCTGATTTCCTATACCCTTTCCAAATATGGGAATAATAACAACAATAACAATAATTATGGCATCCGTGTCATGCTTTCGAGATGCTTTTGGCTAATAGTAGCTTAAACAAATAGAGGGTTATTTGTCTCTTATACCTTTCAGTCCAGAGCTTCCAAAATTCTCTTGACATTTCCCTGGTGCTACAGTCCAGGCTGGAGAAGGAAATAGTGCATTCTAGGAGGCTTCTTCTTTTGTGACATGGCCAGCAGATTCCCAGCTGTAAGAAAATCTGGGAAAGCAAGATTTTACTATTAGTGTTAATGCTGTTGTTAGTTAGGTTTTCCAGACTTTATATTAGAGATCGCAAAGGAGAAGGGTTTTGGGAGTGGGTGTTAGGTCAACTTACCTATCGTGTCTGCCATAGCAGTTCACGTTTTTTGGTGTGCTTATAGGCTAGGCACTATGCTAAGCACTTCACATATATTTAATTCTTATAACAACAAATTGAGTAGATCCTGTTGTCCTCATTTTCCCAGCAGAAAAAACTGAGGTTTAGAGAAACTTACTAAATTTGCCCAGTGTCACACAATTATTAAGTGAGGGAGATAGAATTTCAACCTGAGGAGTCTACGCCAAGAGTGCTTGTTCTTTATACTTCTGGTATTTTTGATGTTCAAGAGCCGAGAGATATTAAACTCCATTAGAGGCCATTTCTTTCTAATGAGGTTAAACATCTTTCCATATGCTTTTTGGTTCTTTTTATTTCTTTATTATAATTTCTTTTTATTCCTATCTGCATATTTTTCTGATGTTGTTGTCTTTTTCTGTAGCTGTTCTTTATAGTTTTAAGGATATTAAGCATTTACCATATATATTTCAAATATCTTCCCCAGTTGATTAATTTGCCTTTTACCTTTATATTCACAATGTACCCCCTTAATACACTAGTGTTCTATTTAATTTCTAGGTAGACAGGTATCAAGATCTCTCTCCCTTAGGGCATCTGGTTTTTATGTCATAAGTAGCCCAAGATTATGGAAATATTCACCTGTATTTTCATCAGATACTATTTTATGTTTAAATTTTTATACAAAATATAATTTATTTTAGTATGAGGTATGAGTTAGATATTTAATTTACAGTTTTACCCAAATGGTTAATCTGCTGTCCCAATGTCACTTATTGAATGACTTCATTAATTTAAAAATCCAATCTTAATTATATGTTAAATTCATGTAAATAACGCCTGTCCTGACCTTCTTCCTTGGTAAGCGATGTGGCATAGTTGTTAAGAGCATGATCTCCAGCCTAGGATTAAACCTCATCTATCCTGCTTATTAGCTGTGGGATCTTGGGTAAATTACTTGACTTCTGTTACTTGACCTCTACTTCCTCATCTATGGAATTGGGACAGTAACAGTACCACCTATGAGACTTGTGAAACTTATATGAATTAATATACATAAAGAGTTTGGAACAGTACAAGTCACATAGAAAGAGATCAGTACATATTAGCTATTATTTTTATTATTATTATCTTCAATTTTATAATGAAAAATAGTATTTGTTGTATTGAGTCCATGACATACAAACTGCTTTAGTAATAAGTGCCATATTCTTTAAACAAAATAGAATATTTTGAACAAAATAAAGCATTAAATTAAATAAAGTTCAGTTAACCTTTATATACTATTAAATTTGTGAAATTTGCATTATCTGTACTAGAGTTCTTGTTTTTTATGTTAAATTTTAATAATAGGTGGAAATTACAACATCTAAGTTCTAAATACCAAAGGTTATTTTTATTTTATTGAAGAATATGGAAATTATATTAAACTATTCCTAGCCAAGTAATTTTGCATTCTTTAAGATGGAATTTTAAAACTTACTCATTAATTCAGAAACTTTTATGTAAAAGTCGTGTGTTGGGCATTTTGCTAAGGTGATAAACAGTGATTGGGAAGTGGTCTCTTTCCTCTCTATATTTATAATTTAATTGGGGACAGATGTTAATGGGACAATAAATGTGTCCTATATATTATTAATGTGAAGTTAAGATACTTTGTAAGGAATACAAGTAGTTTCTCTATACTAACAGGAAAAAAAAAGTTTTATTTAAAAATAGGGTTAGACTAACTGCTGAAGCTACCAACTTTTGAAAATTTTTTAGTTTTGTTGTGGAAAAACTTTTAACTTTTGGCTTTTTATTAAACTTCAAGATTTTACTTACATACAAACTTTAGGGAAGTACAGATGCATCCTCCGTAATCTAATACAGATTCTCCTGACATAGGAGGAGAACCCAGAATTTTGTGAACTTTGTTTATTGATCGTATCTGAATTCTCTTCCTCATTTGTTCAGTGAACAATATTTTGGGGGGATAATCTTAGATAAACAAAGAAAGTTCACCTGAAAATGATTTTTAGTTCAATCAAATTTGTTTGATTTGGCAAAAGAGTACATAATAGTAGCCTTGATCAATATTAAATAATAGGTCAGCATCATCAACAGAGCAACCTTGATTCTAGGTCATCCTTGAGCTTTGAGGTGATTTAGAGAGACCCTTGAGATTATGTATTAGAACTAGGGCAGGCATGAAAAATGGGTTATATCTTTGGTCCCCAACCCATATCTAGTGTAGTAAATGTTTAGGACTACAGAGTTTTTCAGGCTCTTCAATAGAGAGAAATACAATATCTATCATTGGTTAGGGAAGGAGGGCTACTTTCTTTCTTGGAGTTAAGGAGGGCTACTTCTGTCTATCTATTTCTTGGGCCTCACCATGGAATTCCTTTTGACCCTAGCTGGTTATGCAAGTTTAGTCTTTCAGTGTCCTCCTAAATGAGGTCTGAATAATCCAGTTATCTGATAGCATTGAAGATAGGAACTAGCAGATTATATCTGTTGGGTCTGGTAAAATTCCATTGATGGATAGAGTTCACTCTTCAGATTCCATAACAACCATCCAAGTCTTTGAAATACAAACTCTTCCAGGCCTTCAAAGGGAAGGACTTGTCTCTAGCACCCTCTAGGGAATGTCAGTTGTTCATTGTTTTTTACTGCGTCTAACAGGATAGTGTGATTATGATTCTGTGTTGCTCGTTCAGTCTGTATTTCTTGACTATATGTTACATAAAGGGCACTTGGTAGGAATACAGAGATAAGTAGAACACAGGTCCTAATCTCAAGGAACTGAAAATTTGATAGAAGTGGTAACAGCAGTAATTCTTGAGTTTTGGGCCTAGATAGTCCTGAGTTTGAACCCTCATTCAGTTGTTTGGCTGAGCCTGCTCTCTAGAGCCCATGAGCCACAACTACTGAGCCCATGTGCCACAACTACTGAAGCCAGCATGCCTAGAGCCCGTGCTGCACAAGAGAAGCCACCACAGTGAGAAGCCCATGCACTGCAACGAAAGAGTAGCCCCCGCTCGCCGCAACTAGAGAAAGCCCGCGCACAGCAACAAAGACCCGACGTGGCCAAAAATTTTTTAAAAATAAAATAAAAATAAAAAGTACAAAAAATAAAAGAATACATTTTTAAAAAAAGATTGCTAAGTTCCGTTCCTAAAGCTTGTGTCTTCACTTATAGGGCTATTCCAACGTGTAAATACAAGTATGTTCAAACAAAACACTATAACATTGATAAGAAGATATGAAATGAGATAGCTTTA